GTCCTCATTCCTGCGTTTAGGATAGCAATACAAAAAAACCACAGATGGGGCCAGTAGGTGATATGGTGGTTGGAGCACTGGACTCCCACATGGCCAGCTCAGTTCTAACCTGCACCTGCTGCTTGCTTTCTCACTTTCCCCTCTCTCTCTGGTGAACACATGTGCCCTGTAGCAAATGTATAATGATGATAAATAGAATTAAATAAGTAAGTATTTAAAACAACAAACAGGGGACCAGCAAGTGGCGTGGTGATTAAGGCACTGGACACTCCGTGTCCAACCGCGGTTCGAGTCCTGGACCTGGTGACTTGCTTTCTCACTTTCCTTTCTCTCTCTGTGTGTCTCTCTCTGGTCAAATTAAAATAAATGAATAAATAAATAAAATTAAATAAATAATTTTTAAAAAGGAAAACAACAAACAGAAATTATGTATTTTTCAAGTGAAATCCAGAACACTAGAAAATTAGGAGACATTACTATATGAGATAAACTTTAAGAGGACTAAAAACCTGTTTGATTAAAATTAAACATCTTTCTTCGGCTGACTTTAAAAGGTGACAAGGAGAGCTGGCCAGGCAAGTCTCTTGTAACAAAACGCAGGTCTTGTGGTTTGTTTCTTCTACGGCTGGGCAGACGCTCTAGGCTGGCCAGCGCGCCCAGCCCAACCTCTCTCCCTGTCCCGCTCTTCTGTAGTCCATAAGCCCTGTCAGAATGAGACTGCGCTTCTCCCAAGCAGAAAGTCTTATGACTAGAAACTATGGGGGAAATTATGACCTGGAGTCAAGGTGGATGCAGAGCAAAAGAAACAGGTCTACCCAGGAGAGATTTTTTGAAGATACTAAGAGAGCCAACCTCCCTAAAGACTGCCTGAGAAGATGAAGCAGTAAGTGCATGTGTTTTCCCTTTTAAAGGAAAAAGCATTATCATTAAACAGCCCAAGCTGAACAGTTGTGGTCTAAGATAACTGGCCATAAATGGTACAAGTTCTGAAAAATAAAAAAGTCAGTGCAAAAACAAGACTGGATAACAAATGGCAGCCTAGGAGAGAAATTATTCATTTTCATAAGAAATCTCAGAGTTCCTTGGCCCTTGAATTCCCAGTGACTACCCATCAGTGGCAGCCACCATCCTGTTAAAAAGGCTGCATTGCAAGCCTGTTCTCAGCACTGGGCCCCTTCACTGTCAAGAAAGAGTAGCTTTACTAAGCAGCCTGATTCTAATACTTCAAAACTCTAACGTCTTCTGGCTCTGTTTCTCTCCCCGACAACAAAGAGTTGATGGTTTTACTGCAGCTAAAAATGTTAACCATGCCAAATAAATATTTAAAATAAATGAAATAAGTAAAAGAACAGTAATAGGAGAAAAGACTACAAAAACGAATGAGAAACGGCCATCTTTAGAGGTCACTTGGAAATCAAAGAAGAAAAACGTCTTCAGCATGTTTCCCTATAAGCAGCTTGTCGGCCCAGAATCCATTCAGTGCTGGGAGAGTGAGAAGGAGTGAGCTGCTGTTCATAATTACCTCAATGAAGTATTCCGAGCAAATAATACACTGGAGCTCATTCTCGAGCACGTCATTCATGTGGCTAAGAACTTCTTCCTTCTGTGCTTGCACCTTCTCCTTCTCTTCCTGCAAAGACAACACAATCCCACCTGTCATTTGGGAGAACCAACAGGAATACAAAGCGGGACAGGGAGCAAGGTTAATTGCCTAGAATCGGATTCAGAAGGAGCTTAAATTAAAAATTCATTCTGGCACAGCAATATGAAAATAAAACTTTCCCTAAGGGTTCAATTTCTCAGAAATTGCTCTCTAATGCAGAGTACTAACCATCTTTCCTCTCCCCACTTGCTATGATCCTGGACCTGGTGGTTTGCTTTCTCACTTTCCCACTTGCTTTCTCTGTTTCTCTCTCTAATTAGAAAATAATAATGATGATAAATAAATTTAATTATTTTTTAAAAAGTGAATTTGTTGCCAATATTTGAAAACGAGGATATTCACATAAATACTTAGATTTCTATTCACTGTAGAAAAATTAGAAGACTTGACAACATTGGGCCTGCATTTCCAGATAGCAGCAACCGGCTGAGCAGAGAACTGGCTCTTGGAGTAGAGATGAAGGGTGAGGACGCCTTTCCACTGCTAACAGCCCTCACAGCTCCCTCCTGTGTTCTTACACCCAGACCGCTTTGCTCATCTTACCAGCCTGGCACTCACGGGGTTTACATTCCTCATCCCTAACTTAAGAGTCCTGATTTTACGTGGAAATGAAATACAAAATTCATCAAGATGGACTGTTTTTTACTGTGACTGTAATTCTCCTTAGTTAGGACCAGGAACACACCCTAAAGGAGCACACACCACAAACAAAAGAATGCAGATGCAGGTACCTCGTTCCCAGCACTTCACTTCTGAACAAGGGAAGGAAATGTCTTGCAGGCAGAACCTTCTACAGGCCAGGATAATTTCACAGATTATTTCCCCTGAGGCAAAGAGCAGTCATAATCTCTCTCCTCCTTCACCATAGCAACCCTTGCACTGTTGAAAATGCTGAGTTGCATGTACTAACCAAATTCTAAACCTCCATCTTCTTCCCAGTACCTTGGTCTGTTCCAATTCTTTGTTCTTGGCTTGAATGATTGCTTCAAAGTCCTTCTTGCTGCGATTCAGCTCATCCATCAGAGCTCGATGCTGCAGACACAGAGCAGATACTCAGGCTGAGCGACACGGCATCCTCCCTTTCAGCCACACACGCCTGCTCCCTCCCTCTACTCAGTGACTTTGATTTAGGGATCAATGAATTGGCGGTTTCAAAATAGTGCCTTCATTCACTCAGGATAACCCACCTACCAGCTGCTTTTTTCAGGGACAGACGGAAAGGAAAGTCGTCAAATCCCTTATCCTCTCTGGAACGTCTACAACTTCAGTAGCGTCTGAATAGACTGAAGGACTTCCACTGCTGTCCAGACAGTGTGAAGCTGTAGTTTTGGCTTGGGGCCCTGGTGTGTGCATTTTTAAAACCTACTCAAGTGATTCTGAGAGCTGGGGTTTAAGAACTATTGGGTCACTGGAAACGTCATGATGTGTTTTTCTATGCAAAAACGCACCCGGGTTTTTCCAATGACTCAATAGTAACTAACTATGAGGTTACTCAGTATCGGAAGTGGCTTTTAAGGAATAATTGTTTTAAAAATAGGACTCAGGGAACCTAGACAGTCATTTTCATTGAAATAAGAAAAAACCTTTCACCTACTAACCCTACGGGCCACAGTACTTTCTCATAAGGCAGTGCTGCCTAAGCCCTGCAGCGTCTATTGGAAGACGGCACACCAAGAGCTGATAGCTCGTTCACTGCGGCTACCTGCCGACACCAACGTCAGGAGGTTCCCCAACTATACAACGTGATTTATGAGTTCCTCATGCCTGCGTGTACCATACGCTTTAGAATCTTACCTCAAATTCTTTTACAAAGAAGACAGAGTAGAATATTTTTTTAAATGGTTAAGGTTTTTTTAAATTATTTAATTTTATTTATTCATTCATTTATTTTAATTTGACCAGAGATAGAAACACACACAACCCCAGAGAGCGAGCGAGAGAGAGAGAGAGAGAAAGAGAGAGAGAGGGAAAGTGAGAAAGCAAGCCACCAGGTCTGTGATTCGAACCGTGGTCGGCCATGTGGGAGTGTCCAGTGTTTTAACCACCATGCTACCTGCTGGCCCCAGAGTAGAATATTCTTTATCTGAAAAAGCATGGTCTCCTGAAGAAAACAACTATGTCAGAGGCCTGGCTTTTACCTTGACCAGTAATTGGATGTACGCACCCTAACTTTCTCGTCGATAAAATGGGAAACAAGTCAGCCACAGGGGCACAGTGTAACACAATGCCCTGTGGTGCTAAAGCCATTCAGGAAGGTCCAGGAAACCAGAGATCTTCCGGTATATTCTGGCAGTACACATGCATGCCCGTGATCCTAGCTGGGTTTTGGCTGGGGTGGATCATGGCATGAAGAGCCTGGTGGGGATACTTGCCTCTCTATCCTTCTCTGTCTCTCATGGAAGAAATAAATAGATAAGTTAAAGGAAAACAGGTGTTTTTGAAGTTTCTTTTTATTCTTTAAAGAATTATTTACTTAATTTTATTTATTCATTTATTTACTTTAATTTGACCAGAGAGAGTGAGTGAGAGAGAGAGAAAAAGCAAGAAAGCAAGCCACCAGTTCTAGGATTCGAACCGTGGTGAGCCAAGTGGGAGTGTCCAGCACCTCAACCACCACACCACCTGCTGGTCCCCGCCTCATCTATTTCAGAATTGATAAAATAATAATAATAATAATAAAAATAATAGGTATGAAAGGTATTCTGGGGACCCACGGATGGCGTAACGGTTATGTCGCTGGACTCCCATGTAGCTGACCGCATTTCCTGGACCCGGTAGCTTAAACTCATGCTAGGCACATGTGCGTGTGTGCTCAAAATCCTGAGAGAACGGAAGAGAAGGGATTACAGTGTGGCTATCCTACCCTTGGGTGTGATTTCTTGCTTTTTGTCTCTCTCTCTCTCTGCATCTCCAATGAGTGCATGCACCCTATAGTGAAAAAAACAAAAAATTCTCAAAAAAAAAAAAAAAGAGAGAGAAAGGTATTCTAAAGATTTTTAAAGCTCTAGTATCTAAATGTGAATTTTTATACTAGCCTGGTAAAGGGAACAGCTTCAGAGAGACCAGCAAGAGGAATAAAACCACCACTACTGGAGACAGCATGTGGCGTGATGGTTGAGGCGCTGGACGCCAATCTAGCCAACCATGGTTCAAGTCCTGGATCTGTCGGCTTGCTTTCTCTCTCTCTCTCTCTCTCTCTCTCTCTGTTCCCCCGGGCATGATATATAGAACCATAACCTAAAAATATCCCATTTTTAGGCTACTGAATGTACCACCAGGTACCTCAAACAAACAGCAGTCTCTCCCCACCTGTCTCAGAAGACAAGACGCTGTGGCTACCTAGTACTCAGTGCCCCCTCAGCAGTTCCTGTGTAGCAGGACTTTACTCTTTTCCAGTCGAGTTCAAAACCATATCTGAATATTAATTTACTAATATTCCAAGTGGGAAACCTACCTTCTTGCCCTACAAAAGAAACAAGTTCCGAAAATAAAGTTTCAGAGACTGATTGATTTTTACCTAATTTTTCCCAAAAGCTATTTGTGCACCCCTCGATGAAATCAAGGTAGGAACTCTGTCATGCTTGCGATGCTATGTGACTGTTAGCACTGTGGGACTGGGAAGCAGGTATGCAATAAAAAAAATAAGAATTTCCCTGAACAAATTCTAATATGATTTGCTCATTTTTCTCAAGGAGATCTGAACCATCCCACTAACCCCCTGACTACGCCTGTATCGCACTACTCTTCAAAATATATAAAAAACCCCCAGAAGATTGGGACCAGCAGGTGGCATGGTGGTTAAGGCGCTGGACACTCCCACATGGCCGACCAAGGTTCGAGTCCTGGACCTGGTGGCTTGCTTTCTCACTTTCCCCCCTCTCTCTGTGTGTGTCTCTCTCTGGTCAAATTAAAATGAATGAATGAATAAATAAGTAAATAAATCTTTGAAAAAAAATAAGCAAATGAGAGAGGTAGTCGAGTTAAATGAAACAATTTACATGCCATCTTTTAGAATTTTATTCCTTTGAGTTTTTCACTTTCATTACATTGTTATGTTTTGCTGTTAAACTGCACATTCTCAACCTGACCTAAAATGCTTAACTGGAACATTCTCGAATGGATTCTGGATGGCTACAGCTCAGGGACAGTGAAATAACAGAGGCCCTCCCAGGCCCGGTGGCCAGTCATGGCTCGCATTCCCCTCCACTGTCCTCCCCTTTCTGGAAGTAGAACCACTTCCCCTGAGAGCCTCCTAATTGCTGCAGGCCCCATTCCACCTTCACCAGAGCAACATCTGTGCAGATGAAGATGTAAGTTTTCACGCCTCGGTCTGGCATGCCTGTGAGGCTCGAATCTCTGACCTGCTGGTATGAGCAGCTGCCACCTGCTCTGTGTACAGACAGGAGATGCTGCAGGAGTGTGGGCTAAGCAGCAGAGGCAGCCAGTGCCCACATGATGCCTGGCTGCCCCCCCAGGCCACCGCCCACTATAACCTCAGCACAATGGAGAGATAAGTTACCTCCTGCAGAGCCTGGGCCAGCTGTTGCTTCAGGTCCTCTTCTCCTTGCTCTTTCTCTGAACCCTGCAAAGCCAAAACAAAATGAAGACTTCCCTGCGGGGAAGGGAACAAAAGAACAAGCAGAGCAGACCAGCTAGTGTGAGCATCTGGAAACTCCAGGGGGGAAGGGGACAGGTGGGCATCTCCCATTTTACTTCAAGCTGCAGGCAGTAATGATCTGAGCAGCGTTATCTGCTCAAATACTGCACACCTCAGGACTATCAGCTTTAAGCTACTAGACGGTCCTGAAAAAAGTACAGGTTAACAGTCCAAGTCTCTTTCACTGGCTCATGCCATGACTCCTAAGAGGGTGTAAACCGAGAACTGTGGGCCACCACGTGTCTGAACTCCGACCGACCGGCTCCCCCGCGAGCCACCATGTTTCCTCGCTGTCCTGGCCAGCCTGTCTCCTCACCTTGACACCACTGCTGTTAGCCTACTAGCTGTTCTTCTGCTCTCCTGGCCTGAGCTTATGCTGCAGCTCCTCTCTGAGCCCCCTCACATGTGAGATCTTCCGCATAAACATGAACAGGTGTCCAGCACCTGCTACTAGAACCTGTCAGCCCTGCCCTCCTTTAGAAGTGCCTAACTATTTAACATGCCAGCTGGCAGTTCTCTAGTTTAACAGTGACGGGGGTGGGGGGAACAAAAACAAACACTGCTCTCTGATCGGAGTATGTGTATACATCTTCTCTACTCAACTAGATATGTTCTTTAATGGCAAACTCATTTATTTAGCATTTTTAAAACCATAAGAACTTCCAAGTAGTGCCAGGCAATGTGGGTGCTCAAAAGAAATCTGTGTGAAGCAGCAAGGGTTAAACGAGCCTCTGAACAGGCAGCAAGGACTTGGTGGGCTGAGGCAAATGCACCTACTACGGGGAACGAGGTCCTCTTCACTCAGCAGCTTCTCCATGAGCTTCTCATACCTGGATAGTCTCTAAACCATTCCTTTCCGCCTTAACAGCTGGTATAGAAAAAGATCTGGCAGCTAGACGTTGAAGCCCGCCCGACAGCCACACAGACTAACAGCAACTCTTATTCTGAACACATTCGCCTTTAAAGAGAGTTCTGCTCTGGTAATGGTGTGATCCACCAAACTTGTAGGTAAATCACCTCTACTAATTCCCCAAACTAGTCCAGGCTGGATAAGGGAGGTCAAAAGGTACACACCAGTGAGCTATTTAATCCACTGCCTTTGTTCATGCTGAGGTTCAAGGGGATGACAGAGTGAGAGTAAAACTCAGCGTTCAGAAAGCCAACACGACTGGCTGCTCCTTGCCCTGAGCAACCCCGACACCTCAGCTGTGACTGGCCCTTCTAAGTCACCAATGGGGGAGTCCTGACATTCACATCACCTGTGCAACAGGGTGAGGATAGCATGTGGGGTCCCTTCCTGCTAGTGGGAGCTGACATTGTGAACACGGCAGAATCAGCTCTGGCCTAACGCTTTGTCAAGAGCTTCTCATCTAAGCAAATGACCCAGGGATGAGAAGGCAGTTGGTCTTACCTCAACAGAGCTGAGACCGGCTTTATTTTACTTTCCTAAAAGGCACCATGGAAGGTGGCTTCCTCCTCCACCCACCAATGGAGCCACATGCCGGCTGCTCAGGAGAGAAACAAAAACATCTTCTGCCTTCCCGGCCTCCCACCTCCTAGGTCTGAAGTGAACTGACCCTCATAGCCAACAAGCTGCCAGGTACAAGGACAGAGTAACCAGCTGGCCTGCATCTGCCTTAGGGAAAAGTGATCTGGCTCTGGCCACAGCAGAGAGAGAAGTCATGCGGACACTCTCAGTTCAACTGCAGTGTACTGTGCTTTTGTGGCATCCACCTACAACCATGCCTCCCTGAAGCTACCTTGGTTCTGACATGCCTCCGCTCTGTATCTTGAGATCAGTTATGTCCTGGTCACCTCGCCCTACATGGCAGCCCACCTCAGGGGCCTGATCCCCTCTGCACATGGAAGCCTGAACCCTTTACTCGTCCCACCCCTAGTGCTCAGCACTTGGCGCCTCTCACTGCAGGCACCTCGCCCTGGGTGGTACCTGGAGGTGCTGCTGCTCTTCCTCGAAGGTCTTCTCTAGCTGCTCCACTCTGGCTTGCTGCTGAGCCTGCTCCGCACACAGCTGAGACTGTAAGTCCTGCAGCTCCTGCTCCATTTTCACAATTCTCTTCGAGTTCCCCTTCAGGGTCTGCTTTCTCACATTCAGAACAGCTACTTGTTTCTCCTGCAGCTGTGTTTTCAGTTTCAGAATCCTGGACATGGTTACCTTAAACAGCTCTAAGCTGCTCTGAGATGCTGAAGAGTTTGAAGCTTTCTGCTTCTTATAATGAAGCTCTACAACTTTTGGGGGGCCAGGATAAATATGAGTCCCTGTGGTCTTCTGGCTTCGCTCCAAAGTAGTCAGCTTAGGAGCCGAACATTCAGAGGGCCGACTGGCCACTCCGCCTTTCCCATGTGACTTCACCGGCTGTCCAGGTTCACAGGACATTTTAGTTATTTTGGATTTCAAATGTGAGGGGCCTTCAGCCCCAGAACCCTCTAATTCATCCAAATTAAACTTCCTTTTAGTTCTCAACCCCTTATTTTTTTCCATCATTTGGACGTTCTTTGGGGCAAGACAGGGATACATCCTCTCCCAGTCGTCTTCGGTCACTTCATATTCATACTCCGCATTCTTCTTGTTTTCCAGAGGCACGCCAAGCTGGATGTGGTCTCCCTGACGGATAGAATAGACCTTTAAAGGCTCCAGACGCTCTCCATTCAGCCAAACACCATTCAGACTCTGGGGAGAGGGAAAGAAAGACGAAATAAACTTCATGATTTTCCTCCTCTTAATGGAATTTCTCTCTTGCTACTGCAAAACATTCTGCGTTTCAGAAGGAAAACCCTTGAGAACAAACAGAAAAGAAAGGTTCATAAAACACCATCCTTAAGAACGGTGTTCTTCAAACGGTGCTCTGGCTTCTTCCCTGTATTTTACATTCATGCCTCCGCAGAGAGCTGCCTGTGAAAGAGCCAGGGACCACCTTATTACTGGGGACGGATCACGCAGACAAACGCAGGAACTAAAGAAAGCAAAACCACCTCACTCCCACTGACCTACACTGGAGGCGGCTCTCCACAACTGGAAAGACTGCAATCAGCGAAGGAAGCAGCACCGAATGGTGAGGTCCGGGAGGGAGGCTAGGCCAGGAATGTCACTTGAGTACCTTCTCTGGATGTGGCCCCTCAACAAACCAGTGAACAAGCAAAGCACTTACCAGCACACATAAACCAAATAGAGACTGTCAATCCCTGTACTGGATCACACCTACAGCTAACTTACACACCCGTGCAGTACAGTACGGTGGGTTCGAACAGCTGGTTCAATGGCCCAAGTGTACCTATCACTTTGGGCGATTTATATAGCACTTGGTAATCGACCTCACCTCTCGGTGGCTCAGCTCTGTGTAAAATAGCGATGGGTGACAGGGTGCCTATCCCATACCTGTGCTGTGTGGAGTGAGACAGTGCATGCAACTCACTCCCCACAGTGCCTGGCGTATAATAAACGCTTGACACCTACTCCATGGCTTTAATGACATCACAGTGTACTGCCTGGGCTCGGAATCTGGCTCTACCATTCAACAAGCTCTGGCTTGGGGCAGGTTTCCTGACCTCTTTATGGCTCAGTTACAGCACCTATATAATGGGGAGAGCAAGTCTCTCTTTCTCATGGTGTTTGTGTGGATTTAATGAGTTAACATAGGTTAACGTACTTGGGACAGTGACAGGTATAATAAATTTTCACTATTACGTCCTCGGTCAATCAATGTATCAACAGTCACTTCAATCCTATGCTTACTAGCTTCCTATAAGGTAAATATATCAAGTGCAAAAGTAGAAGATGCGCACACAACTGCCTGAGCAAAGGGCAACACAAGCACATGCATACGCAGAAGTAGGGTGACATGGCACAGCCTCTGCACACAACACCTCAGGGAGCTAAATGACGTCAAATGGAGAGCACGGATGTTAAGACAGACTTGAAACAAATATAGGACTTAGAGTTAAAAAATACCAGCAGGGTGGGGAGCCAGCACATGGCATGGTGGTTGAGGTGCTGGACTCCTACAAGGCTGACCATGGTTCAAGTCCCTGACCTGGCAACTTGCTTTCTCACTTTCTCTCTCTGATCAAACTGAAAAACAGTAATCAATAAAATCATTCTTTAAAAAAAAAACCACGCCAGCCAGGACCTAGATGGCGGCACAGCAGTGAACACAATGCTCTATGAGGCTGGCCCATATGGGAAGGTTCCAGATTCACGTCGAGACCTCCCTGAGCACGCCAGGCACATGCCTGCCCACGATCCAGAGCCAACTGTGCCTGAGGGTGGGTCACGCCAAGACTCTGTTGACAGTGCTGTCTCTTT